TGAAGAAAGGCTAGTGGCTGTCATACACCTTGGTGGTTGACGAATGTCCAGACTTCAGAAGCAAGTACTGTATGCCCGAAAATTTGATTCAAGAATGCAAATTGTCTCTAAATATCTAAACACTTAAGTAATACAAATCAACCCTCTTGCAGACGGCGCCTTCCTGAGACAGGGAATCACAGCAGCAAGGAAGTGGCCGCGGATCACCAACCAGCAACTAGAAGGTCTGGGAACCATGAACCTTCCTCAGCCAAGACCTGGGGTATTATGGGAAATGGAGAGTGAATAGGCCTGGAGGATGGAGCCAACTGGCATTTAGGGACATGAAAGTAGCAAATTGTGTTCCGACAGAAACTCAAAGAGACTCGCACAACAAACAGCTCCAGCTGCCCTTGAGGGAGCTCTGACGAGAATATTTTCCAAATACGGGACGGCACTGATTCCTTGCTCCCTCAACGATACTTCCAATGAATTAAATTGCCGACTTCCCACACTAAACTGCAGAAACTTTCTTTGGGGTGGCACCATTGGAATCTGGCGGTAGGTATCCTACTAATTTTAAAACACATCAAGGGATCTTTAATGTCCACTGTGAAGCAAAATGCATGTATTTTATGGTAAAATACACTCCACAGTAATAATCTGGGCGACCTTCCGGATACTAATTCAGAATCTCTGCAACAAGCAGCGAACGTGCTTCCACTGGCCTCTGAAGCCCTTTTCTTTTGATCTACCACACTGGTTGTCAGTCCCGTTACAGGAAGGTGAATATTCTTCCTCCCTGGCTGCTGAAAAACGGTGCCCCTTCACAGCCGCCAGCTGTTCCTTCTTTGCTGCATCAAATTTCTTAAGTTTATTCTGGAGGTCACCAGAAAACAGTCATAACCATGTATGGCTTGAGAGCTACAGAGGAGATGGGAGGCTGCACCAATGGTGATTGAGCTTGTACACACAAAATACACTCACACTGGTCAGAGGGTGATGATATGTGGACAATGTTGTGACTAGAGTTTATGTTTAAAGCTGCATTAGGTCTGCAAGGGCCAATGAATGTGCGTACTAAAAAAACAATCCTTGATAAAAGAATGATTAATTAGAATTATATTATTAATTATAAAAGGTGGCAATGACACAGGAGAGAAATGCAACATCGACCAGACTGCTTATAACTTTACATGCCGAAACCCGGTAACACATTTGATGTAATTTATGAATAAAAAAGCACAAATAATTATTAATCATAGCCCCATTACACTGCTTATCAGGTTGCGGGGCTGCTAATATGGGTTTCTCATGCCATATGATCCTTATATTTTATTTCTGAGACACTATTTTTTTCCAGGGGTGTACTTCACTCCACGACTGGGGTAACGAATCAATCCGACATCAGTGGTGCTACTCCGCGATGTCGAAACGCCGCGAGGACGATTGTGCCGAAACCCTGAACGCTCGCGGCACGCACCGTACTGGTGGTGCATCGTAGTGTACGGCTCGTCGAGATGAGTCGATTGCCGCATCGCCGACCATCAACAGACTAAAAATGACTGCATCACGGACATTATGCGAGAGCCCGGGTACTGTGGTACCCCGGGGCACCGCCATAAGGTTCATATGTTCAATATCCAGTGTATCTCATGAGTGCTGCAGCTTGTTCAAGAATGCATGCATGTGTATGGTTTTCACACCTGATGATGATTGCTTGTGTTGCAGTCGAAACGTCGTGAGAATTTTGTTCAATATTTTTATTATTTTATTGTTTCCCTTCAACGTGACTTTACCGAAAGAACCAAGAATATGAATCCCTGCAGTCACGAAAGCTTTAAATCAAAATTGTATGAACAATGTTAGCAAAATCTTAAGTCTTTGTGAATTTAAGAGCCTTGGCATATCAAGTGGGTTGTGCACTGGGTTTAGAGCTGCTGCTCTGCATTGGCCTTATTTTGTTGCTGGCCTTCAAAGTTCACCTACATTTTTCTTTTTTAAGAATATGTGGAACTGATTAGACTCACAACTGAATACAATTAATGTTTCATTCCATCGATTTTAGTGCTGAATACACTTGTGTAAATGTTGAAGTCTTTAGATGTAAACTTGTGCTTTTAAATATGTACTTTCAACAAATATGCTGGCCTGCAACAACAGCAAAAGGGCTGTCAGGTACAATTTAAGAATAGTGAACCTCAGTTATGCTACTCTTGCCTTGCTAGCTAAAAGGAATTTTTTGGCTTAAGAATAATGAATGGCTTAATCCATAATGAAAAGATTACATGGGCTGTGCTGCATTGCAATTCTGCTCGTGGATTACCGAGATGGTTATTCTTGTTGGAATTTACTGCATATGCTGCCACTTTACTTTTGGCTGTCACAGCCTTGACAGGTTTTAAAATGATAAGAAACATCTCAAGATATATATTTTTTTCTAAAGTGTTTACAAATGTATATTCGTCCTGGGTTTAATTTTACTCCCCCACCCCCCAAACTGTGAGAACTGTATGCCGACTGAGCATTGGATCATATAGCATAAATTAACAGGAAAGTGGGTTTAATGGTAAAAGTGAAATAATATTTAACCCAACGTCCAATGGGCCAACTGCATACATATATCCCAGTGGGATATTTAAATAAGGTAAACTCTGAAATAGTTTAGATTTCATGAATACATTATTTTCATGGGACAGTCAACTCTAGTCAACTTCAGTTGGCCTGATTTCTCCCAGAACTCGACTTGAAGGACAACTCAAACTGATGAAAATATTCATGACAATGTACCTTTTGGGACAGCATCGCTGATGAGACGGCAACTCGAGTTCAAACGCAGGTAACGCGGCTCATGGAAACACACCACAAGTCAAACATTTTTCCCTCTCATCAAAACTCTATACCATAGGGCTCATTGCATCTCTGAGCAACACCACCTGGCCAGTGAATTAAAACATGTACATCTGACCCTCAAAATCAACGGATACTCAGACCGTACTATCCGCCAAGCTGTTTCTCCCACCATACAGAAACAACCACCTGAAACTCCAATTAAAATCATCACGCTGCCATACATAGCAGGCGTTACCAAAAAGATTTCAAAAATTCTAAACAAACACAAGATCCAGGTCCGGTTCCATACAGTACACAAAATCCGTGATCTGATTCCACCCATAAAGGATGTCATTCCTGACTTACAGTACCCCGGGGTTTACAAATTGAGTTGTACCTGCGGTGACTGCTATAATCGGGGAAACGAAACGACATATTTCTGACCGAATTCGCGAGCACAAATCAGATTTGAAACACGGCAGAACTAATTATTCTGCCGTAGCTGATCACTGTTACAACGCTGTGGGTTATCATGCTATTGTTTTCTCCGATACCAAGGTACTCTGCAAGCCGTCTGGATACCACCAAAGATTTGTCCATGAAGCCATACAGATATACAAACATAGACATAACTTCAACCGCGAAGATGGATTCAAATCGAGCAATCATTGGAAAGATGTCATTAACCATGTTAAAACTCAACCGCTACTCTACCCTGCTCCGCGATCCCCCCCCCCCCATCCATGGCTCTGATGTTTTCTAGTCTGAGCTTTTCCTTCCTGGCTTCACCCACACCCCAACCCCCACCCCCCGCCCCCCCATGCTACGCCCGTCCTCCCTGGCTCCTCCCCCTCCTCTTACCCTATATAACAGTATCATCACAAATAGCTCTCTCTACAGTTATTTTGCTGTGCCTTTTTTACACCTGATGAAGGAAGCTTGTGTTGTCTCCGAAACGTCGTGATTTAATTTAGTTGTCTTCATTTATTTTAATTTTATTTTTTACCTACGTGACTTTACCGAAAAAACCAAAGAGTATTTTTCCCGCTGTTGTTTTTCCTTATCTACTAGAGATTGTGCCTGACATTGGGATGCTCCGAGTGATACCAATTGGTCTACACCTTGGGTATTTCAATCTTCAGGCTTGCGGAGCGGTGATGCAATGCAATGGTTCACAAACTGCACCACGAACCTGGCAAACAGGATTCGATTCCCTGCCATGGCTGACATCAGTGGCATTTGATATCTGAATTAGTCCTGAATTAGTCCTCGGCCCCTCCATTACCTAACCTGCACTGACCAGCATGGTGTTGAACAGCATGGTGCTGGTCAGTGTGGTGATGGTCAGCGTGATGCTGGTCAATGTGGTGCTGGTCAGCGTGGTGCTGGTCAATGTGGTGCTGGTCAGCGTGGTGCTGGTCAGCGTGGTGCTGGTCAGCATGGTACTGGTCAGCGTGGTGCTGGTCAGCGTGGTGCTGGTCAGCGTGGTGCTGATCAGCGTGGTGCTGGTCAGCGTGGTGCTGGTCAATGTGGTGCTGGTCAGCGTGGTGCTGGTCAGCGTGGTGCTGGTCAATGTGGTGCTGGTCAGTGTGGTGCTGGTCAGCGTGGTGCTGGTCAGTGTGGTGCTGGTCAATGTGGTGCTGGTCAATGTGGTGCTGGTCAGTGTGGTGCTGGTCAATGTGGTGCTGGTCAATGTGGTGCTGGTCAATGTGGTGCTGGTCAGTGTGGTGCTGGTCAGCGTGGTGCTGGTCAATGTGGTGCTGGTCAATGTGGTGCTGGTCAGTGTGGTGCTGGTCAATGTGGTGCTGGTCAGTGTGGTGCTGGTCAGTGTGGTGCTGGTCAATGTGGTGCTGGTCAGTGTGGTGCTGGTCAATGTGGTGCTGGTCAGTGTGGTGCTGGTCAGTGTGGTGCTGGTCAGTGTGGTGCTGGTCAATGTGGTGCTGGCCAGTACACTCCCAGCATGCTGACCAGCATGCATGGTGCTCGTCAGCATGGTGCTGGCCAGTGTGGTGCTGGCCAGTACATTTTGGAAAAAACTCTCCTTAAGCTGAAATCTTCACCTTTTGGATATGTGGCCCCAATTTGCTTGAAAAGTATATGGGACACGTGCATTTAGATACGGTTGAAGTGTGCCCGTTTGCGCCCGCACATGGCCGGGTGAGCTCTCCACCCATGTCCGGATCACCCACCGGTCCAGCGATGCGCACATCATGCAGCCGCCCCCACTCATCCTCCAGACTGTCCACCAGCATGGAGTCGTCCTCCTCGCCCGGCCACGATGCTGTGAGCTCCAGCATCACCTCCTCGCCCGCCGAGCCCAGCCCCACCGCTGGAAAGAGGCCCCCCTCTGGAACTGGCACCGACAGGGAGCCCAGCTGAAAGGCAGCGCAGGGGCAGGGAGTCCAGGGGTACATAAACATACATTATTAATCAGCTTGCTCTGCACCTCGTTACAAGAACATCCATATGTCATCAGAGGGAGCTCTGCTGAGAGCGGAGGCATGCATTGTCTCATTTTACACCTCAATATATGCCCAGTTACATGCCTCACTGCACATCACTGCGCAGAGATAAAACCCGAGTTGCTAGGATCGCAGTTTCGTGATCTAATCACAATGCCACTTCTCCCCGTGCCACATGCATACCCAGAAGGTGATTACATGAACCTATTTAAATCCAGGTCTCCCTTTAAAAAGAGACAACTGGTCTCAATGGGCTTACAAAACTATAAAGGTCTACTGCTACTACTATCCCCGTATCAAATGGTGACTCACACGTAAGCAGGTCTTGTTACAGAAACTCACGCAAGCATTTTGCACACACTTGACAAGCATTCTAATTACAAAGAGCAGAGGTTCACATAAAAAAAAACTCTATAATAAGTTAATCTGCATGGTCTACCAAAGTTATATGTACTGTAGTATTTAAGTGTTTTGGAATAGTCGAGTTCAGTGGCTTTTGAATGTACAATAAATATTCTTTGAACATAAGAGGGAAAGGGATGACTTCACAAAGCCTTTCAACATTTAAAATGAAAGGGAGGCAAAATGATCTAATTTTAATTGAGGTGGAGGAGGTGGGAACTCTCTGCGAAATAAGAGCTGTTGCGGTGACGTTGTGAGGAAAAATGAGCACGGGCTAAACACAAAAGGGATAAATACACACGTAATATTTGTTTCCAAAAAAATGCGTTTAGAATTCCAGCAAGGCGCAGTTACAAATTTGATAAAGTTTAAACGAATGGTGTATTTCATTCCTTTGATAATAAGGACTTGTTTTGATTTCATCCAAGTGCGGCGTCCCGAGGATGGATGGCTTTGATGACCCAGAGGATGTGCGCCTACACACAATCCAGGGTCGTGCCCCCACTGGAAGCCCTCGAGAGGGTTTAATGTTTCAGGCGGAGTCGCTCCATTCACATTGTTCTCATCTGTGATGAGACGGGCATTACTGTGATGTAGGGGGCATCACGGTGACGAGATGTTAACTACCTCGCCGGGTATGCATGGTGGTCGTGGATTCGATCTAGACCCCGATGCCTATATGTTTGGAGTTTGCAGGTTCTCCCCGTGGTCGCGTGGATTTTTCTCCGGGTCCTCTGGTTTTTCCCTCTCAATTTAGAAACCTGCATTTATAGTATTTGGCTGCGATCAATTTCCACATGATAAGCCACTTTTTGTCACGCTATCATTTGTGACCAGGTCACTTCTGAAAAATAAGCTAATAATGCAGTGGGCTTAATCTGGTAAAATAAAAAGTTTAGTTTTTCTGTTTAGTATAATTGAGCACATGTGGCAGAGTAATCTTATCAGACTACAACTTCATGTAACTTTGGAGGGCACCCCCTTACTTGTGATTTAACAGTACAGCATAAACATTACATTCATTGCCATTATTTTAGCCTTGGTATGGTTACATTTTTTTACACAAAGGAAAATCATCCTTCAAGTAAAGGTGGAAATGTCTCCATGTTCAGATATGCACCGGAGGAGGCAGTACATATCTCCACTGGTGGTCCTGAGCCCCGAGTGAGTGGTGGACATTTATCTGATGTGATATGGCCCCTTCACAAACTAACATGAATAAACAGTTGTCCTACCTTTACATGCTACCTCTTTAAGTCCACTTATTGTGCTTGTATTACAATAACAATTTTACACTCTCCCCAAGTTATTTTATATTCATTTGTACATATGTTGGACTTCTTTCGTACCGTACGTAGCCAACAGTGCTAATCAGTGGTGTGAGGGAATGACAACAAAACTAAACCCAAAAATCAGTTCTAAAGAAATTAGTTTTCAATCAAAATTATTTAAAAGTACACAGCTCCGGTGGCTTCCTAATATTAAAAGGGGCGTTCCAGACGGCCACAGAAGCGCATCTGAAAATGTGCGACGCAGTGACATCTTTGTTCGATTGTTCGAATACATTTTCCTCAAAAGCTACATGGCAAAAAGAAAAGTTTGCAATGCTCTTTTTTCAAGTCATAAGTTAAGGCTACAAGTATATACAAAAATTGTGCACTTTCAGTGATTCACAGCTGGTTTTTACTGAAAATATTTTAACAGCTGCTTAACATGTACAACATCTCTCACTTGTTTGCAGTCCCAGCAGTAAAATCCTGGAACCAAGTTGCTTGCACCTCAGTGGATGTGTTCCATGCAATAAAGTATTGGAATGAATGGACAATGAGTAGATGGATGTATAAACAGGGAGGTGCAGTAAATTCCCATCGTGTTTATTATATTACAGTGTCATAATATAACCCACTGGTAGATATGCAGCATCAGGGATACATTAAATGTCATACCACAGTGTTCAATGTGTACAACATCACAATATTGTATTGCAACTGTTCCTGGATTTACATTGACACAGTTATTCATGATAAGACTTTGTGTTTTGGAGAATATCATGGTTGGAGCACAGTAAAAATGTGTTCAATTTAAAAAAACAAATCAACTAGCCAAGTTTATCAAATGATGCATGGTGTGACTTCCATCAATGCTGTAATAAAACCACCTCTGTTTTTTTCTCAATGTTCTTCAGATTGCCTTTGAGGCAAAGGAATTTCCAATGAAACCAACTTAAACCCTAAAAATTGTGGTTGAGATTACGAAAACGCATTACGCCAACGCATTACGCCAACATCAGATAAAAGTGCAGACACTCCGCGTGACATCAAAAGCATGTGTCAAAAAAATCCCGCAAGAAAAAGAAAAGCCTGTAGATCAAATAAATGACTAAATAAAAACTGATTAATTTTCAATATTTTCAAATGAACCTGCTCCAAAGCATGGTGGGCTGGATTTCTCAATAAAGGCTCAGTTTGGCTTTTCAAGCACACAACACGACTGTACTCATGCAAGTCATTTAAACAATTATCCCATGAATAGACGGGTGAACGCAATACGAGTTCAGCACGAAACTAGCCTCATAGGATGGCAAGCATCAAATACGGCAATGGACTTGTTAGGCTTTGTCACAAAGATTATACAGGTCACGTGATGATCTCTTGCGGTTTTCTCAGCTTGGCTGCCTGCAAATGGGGACATTTGACCAAGCCCCGAGAATTCTAGTTACCAATCATCTGGTACAAATACTGGAGATGCTGATGCATATTCAGAGGCTGTCCTTACCTATGTATGCATGTGCACACACAGACAGCAGAGGACGCTGACTGATGTGCTTTAGGAATCGCCATTGTTGCACATTGGACACTACACACAGTGGTGCCAGGACCACACCCAGACACACGCATAAATGTACCCGCACACACACATACACAATTGTCCATATACGCGTGCACACTAACACGGGGGGAGTTAAAATGCGCTCTCACACATACGGACTCACAATGTCCATCTACATGCACATACACAGTGCTTACTCCATTCATACATGAAAGGCAAAAATCCCACTATTTATCTGAAAAGATTGTTGGGGAATAAGAGCTGTTAGGAAGTCTCTATTAAAGTCAGCAAGGCACACGACTCTCACGCCAACGTGCACACGCCAATATAGCCTTAATAGGCTGTTGGGTCAACTGCTGTTAGTAAGCACCTATGAAGGCTGGCACGGCACACGAAGGGGTGGGTGGCCAGCACCACGCCCAGCCGCCTTGTTCCATAGTGGCGATGTTTAAACACCGCACCATTTGAGGCCGAGTCGACCTAGGGGAGGCCAAGGACTGGTTCAAATATTCATCACCGATGTTGGCCGTGAGCAGGAATCGAACTCGGGTCGCCGAGTTCGTAGCGCAGTGAGCTAACTGCTACACTACCGCCTGCATGCACACACAAATACAAAAATCCCCTGTATAGCCTTAACAGGCTGTAGGGGCAAGTGCTGTGAGCAAGCACCGAGAAAGGCCAGCACGGCACATGAACTGGTTGGGTAGCCAGCACCATGCGTACACCCAAGCATGCACGCACGCACGCACACGCACTGTACCACAGGTAATGTCCAGCCACCCACGCTTCACACTCGGGTTGTGTCTGGAATTACCGTGGCTCTGAAACAGCCCTGTTTATTCTCGAGTGCAGAGACGACAAGTCTGGAGCTGCGATTTTTTTTTCTGCCGTAACGGGCGGTCACTGTGCGCGCTCGCACGCTACACACACTTAATAAAGATAGCGTTACGACACGTGAAATCCACTACCGTAGGCAACATTGTGTAATCGTGGGCTCACCCAGCAAAACATGCACAAACATCCCAAGTGTACTACTCAACTTAAAATGTCCAATATATATTTTCCTCTTTAAATATACGATGTTACCATAAGGATTTCCCTCCCTCCTCTGTCATCTTTTGTTATATATTGTTTTTTCTTTACAAATTCTTCCGTAGAACATACTTCCGAATTTGTTGTTACATGGGCACCTTTTCACTGGCTGTGGGTAGCAGAACCTTTGGCTTCCATCATGTCCGGTTCATTTTGCACCTAACGTGAAATGCTGATGCCTCCTCTGTAAAGCTGTGCAGGATGTCGCCTGCATAGGGCAGTCTCTGCCCAGCAACTTCCTAATGCCAAATGGGTGCCTTCAGAGTGCTAACGGGGTGGCAGCATCTTAATCCCAGCTAATTACAGCGTTCTAGCTCAGCGTAATTTTAGTACTTATTTATTTATATAGGGTACACTGAAGACTGCAGAACTACGAGGTTGCCATCTCTCACTAAGTGAGCTCGGAACAAGCTCGGTGAAGGAGCATTCAAGATACCTCCCTTGCATTTAAGATTTTTAATTAGGAATTTAATGCGGCCTCTCTAAAAATGTTCAATATCATCTGCCAAGTTATAATTATGTTTATGTTATAATTCAGATGGCTTTTAAAAATATACACCTTTATGCTGGAATACCCCATTAGGGCAACG